CTATAACAAATATTATAAATATTAGTATATTAATAAATATTAATTTGCGTGCAGTTAAGAGACATGTTCCACACAAATTAAAATATTGTATCAAACGATGATATTAATCTTATTTTCGTATAATTCTTCTAATATTCATTTTATTTTTGTATATTTTATTTTTTTAATTTATTTTGTGGTTTTTTTTATTTTGTTTCATTTTCATTAGTTTGTTTTTATTCGTCGTATGCGCGAAATAAAACAATATATTGCAATATAAACGATGTGTTATATGCTTCACTGTGTACTTTCAATTTAATATTTATAAAAATATAATTTTTTGTCTAAATGTTAACGATATATAAAGTTTCTAAACTTCAATCGGCAAGTGTACATATTCGATAGAGTTTGATGTTCACGAATTTCGACGAAAAATTTAGTTCAACCGTGGGATGACTAAAGGTTTACGGCTAAGTAAGATACAGTTCGTCGAATGGCGTACACGCCCCTTCAAAAGTATTAGGACACCTGCTGGTTTAATATAAATTGTAATTTTGTATTCGATTTGGGTAATGTCTTATGTTCAGTATTAAATATTTTATGGCATCGTATTGTCGAAATTACATATTCATTTAGAATTGTTTGTCAGTTATGCAATTCGTTCGCCAACTTATTGCATGTTGTTCATTGGAAACGTATGTTGAGTTCATTTCGTACGATATGTTTTCTAAGTTTATTATTTTTATTGTATGTTTAGTTGTACATATCAATGTACTTGTTACAGCTTAATAATACATTAGAGAAATTATAACAATTTCTTTCCGGTTTTCAAATTTATTTAATGTCCTGTAAGTGTCTTAATACTTTTGGAGGGGACTGTGTATCGTAAATGTAATTATACTTGTGAATGTATTTGTTACATTTTGATACAATTAACTTCGAAATAAATTGAAGAAATTATAAGAATTTCCTATCGGTTTTTCAAATTTATTTAATTTTCTGTAAGCGTCTTAATACTTTTGGAGGGGACTGTGTATCGTAAATGTAATTATACATGCGAATGTATTTGTTACATTTTGATACAATTAACTTCGAAATAAATTGAGGAAATTATAAGAATTTCCTATCGGTTTTTCAAATTTATTTAATTTTCTGTAAGCGTCTTAATACTTTTGTAGGGGACTGTGTATCGTAAATGTAATTATACATGTGAATGTATGTGTTACATTTTGATACAATTAATTTCGAAATAAATTGAAGAAATTATAACAATATCTTATCGAGTTTTCAAATTTATTTAATTTTCTGTAAGTGTCCTAATACTTTTGGAGGGGACTGTGTATCGTAAATGTAATTATACATGTGAATGTATGTGTTACATTTTGATACAATTAACTTCGAAATAAATTGAAGAAATTATAACAATTTCTTATCGGTTTTTCAAATTTATTTAATTTTCTGTAAGTGTCCTAATACTTTTGGAGCAGAGTGTATATCGCCTGTAGCCGCAGGACCGTGTATATGAAGCAAACGTTCAAACTCGATTTCCTCACGCGCGCGAAATCTAAGTTACAAACAAAAAGAGTTATTATATATTTTTTTTATTAGGAATACCTACCTTCCGGAGACACTCCGTATATTCTCAGCATAACTTCCTGAAATAACTTTTCACCTTCTTAATTCAATAAACACTAAACGTAAAACAATTCGGGTCAAAATGAACCCAGCTTAGTCGGCCCATGCCATCGAGTAAGAACACATCGAATGTTCGTTATTGTTTCGCGAATTCTTAAAATAATTTACCTTTGGAGCGTAGAAAAAATTTCAGAATTCTATGTCATCTCTGGCGGTTTTATCTTACCTGCAACAAAAATTATATATTATTATTTATATCTTATTATGTAACTTATGTATTATCATTATGTACTTGCCCGGTTATTTCTAAAATATAATATAATATCCAAAATATGTTGAATTTAACATTGAAACTTTTTTAATAAAATGTAATCGAAAATGCGACGTTTTTGAACATTTTCCATTGCAAAGGCAAAAATTGATATACTTAAAGGCAAAGGCAAAAATTGATATACTTAAAATTGGGTGATTTATTTACTATCGTTTCAGTGGGCTTAAAATAACTTGTGCTATTTCCTGTCGATATTTTCATTGTACATTTGTTTCAGATATTTATGTATTTATTGCACGTAAAGATTTCTAAAAGAAAAAAAAAAAGTAAACGATACAAGATAAATTTCGACAACGAATAGGATAAATTTCTGTTATTTCGAGCCTACTGGAACGATTCCGTGAGAGAGAAATAGATTTCTATTTCCAGGATACACGAGTCCACGGAAAATCTTTTAAAAGCGAGTAGAACACGTTCTCGAACTTCTATCGTGCCTCTAGAAATCAGGCTTTATATGCACCTACCACCCACGATCTCTGGATAGTCACGTGCGCAGCACATGTGGCAAAGTGACCAGAAAACAATTCACTCGTTGCGCTCGCAGTAATTTCAATAGTAAATTGTAACAAACGCTACTGGCAAATTCTCTTGCAGTATTTTGTTGCGTCACGTTCCATAATTAAAGCGATGCTAAAGTCACGTTCCATAATTAAATAGCAAACATCACAGACAATTAACAGATTACTCATTATGCATCGTAATTTTAATTTCCTTGGTTTTTTAGAATTTGACGAGAATTGTTCAGTATTCATACAACAAATGATTTGTAATTATTTTTTAATTCTCGAACGTTCGAGAATTGTTGCAAATATTTTTCAATTTATTCAGTAAATTTATTATGCAGGAAGGAATTTAATTACATAGCTGTGGTAGAAGTCGCGAATTGCGTTTTAAGTATAAATTACAAACGAAGTAATTCCACAAGTCGCGCCATATTGACGCTCAATAATGTGTTATTGTAATTCCAATTAAATCATAGAATATTATTTTATATAAAGAGGTAGAACAGCCTAATCTGTCATTTTACTATCGAACAATTAACATTTAAAAACTATACTCACCGATCTTGACACACCGTTAACATTTGAATAAAATTTAGTATTTTAATAAACATATGTCTCATTAAATTGAAAGCACACAGTGAAACATATAACACATTGTTTATATTGCAATATTGTTTTATTTGGTGCACACGACGAATAAAAGAACTAATAAAAATGAAAAAAAACAAAGGGAAATGGAAAAATAAAACAAAAACGAATTTTTACCCCATGTTAAAAAAGTTTACTATACCCAAAAATATGCATCTGTGTGTACGCACCATGTTTGTTAACTTTTCTCGGTAAGTGTAAGCATTTTCAAAATACTCGAACCATATCGTTCGCATTTTACAAAAACAAAATACAATTTGCAACTTCTATCAACTGTGGCCACAGGTCAAAAATTCAGCCCATCGTCTAGACCGATTAGATTTTTCTCTACATTTTCGAAATGAAAATTATCGAAATCAATTTTCCAAAAATGTCCGCAAAAATAATCCGATTTCAAATGTTCGTTTTCCTTTGACCATCGCTCAAACACGTAATGCTATATTAAACTACATCATTTTATTCAGAAAAATGCACGGAATGTTAACAGGCGAGCTAGAAATGTGTACCTATTGTTATCAGAGTGCAAAACGTCAACAAAGTCGAAAATTCGCATTTTTTTCAAATTTCATAGCTGAAATTTCTCCTTTCTGCGAAGTTAACAAACGATTCCCGTTAATCGATCATCGCATCCGTATATCATCACGGTT